AGTTTCTTTAATGCTAGTTTGTTTTTTTATGAGCCTTTATTGCTTGGAAATTTTTTTTTTTGTTATCAAAGTTAGATTATTGTTTATTTTTATGAAAGTTGTGTTTTATATTATTTATAAAACTACTCTTGCATTTTTATAAATTGATTTAATGTTTACTGAATAACTAAAGGAATACTTTTTTAAAAAAACACTTAAAAGTTTAAATAATATATGAGCTTAAATAATAATCCTCATTATTTTCTTTCTTCAGTTTTTAAAGTCTTTGAATGTAAGCATTAGTTTACTAAACATGTCAGGTACATGTCAAGTCTAAAATACTACTTTTCTTTTCTTTTAATTATAATGTTTTGTTGCCAAATAGAAATTACAGATTAACTAGTAATTTTTATGTGAACTCTGCAAAGCTTATACTTTAAAAGTATTGTGTTGCAACTTGCCCCGTGCACTGTTGCAATTCGCCCCGGTGCGGGGTAAAATGCAACATATTTTTGTTTCACTATTGCGGAATAACTAAATTTGATATTTTATTTATCAATGTTGGATTAATACGTAACTTAAATCTATTTTATAACCCTGAAAAATAAAATCGAAAAAATATATATTTAAAGGGTATAAGTTACGTTTTTAAAATTTTGTTGCAACCAACCCCGGTCTCCCCTATGCCACGAAGTGGCATATTCATAAATTGTCCAACGTCAAACACTGCTTGTGGCATTCTAATAAACTAACAAACTTATTTAAATATAAGCAAACATAAGCCTTTATTAGCCATTAACAAAATTGAAAAATTTTCAGAGATTTATCTAATCAAGATTTACTAAAAAATGTCTTTGCAGTAAAATACAGAACGGTACTATTAATCCATTCAATTATGGTTTTCAAGGAGTAACTAATGTTTTAAAAGCTTGAGGCGTAAATAATGGACGGTTCATGAATAAAGCTACTAAATTACACGATGTGTTGCATATGTCAAAAGCAAAGTATATATCTACTAACAAATGCCAAGTAAGGAACCAAAAGCTGAGAGGAATTAAAAAATGATAATTTTTGGATTTTATTTTTTTATCAATTTGGAACATTTTAATTGTAATTTTATTATTGTTCTTTGATTATTTCCATATTAAATTTATAGCAAATTTGATGAAGTTAAAAAAGGATATCTCCAGAAAGGTTTAAATTTTTGTTTGAAATTTTATCAGTTTGTTTAAAATTTATTCGAAGAGGACTGGTAGCAGAATAAATATTTTTTCCTTGATTATAAGTTTTGGTTTTTGTCATCACCCAACAAGACCTACCTGGTAAAACTAAAAACTATTATGGAAATGTCTATAACTTTGGAAATATACCAGTAAAATGAATAAAACTACTAGGGTACCTAAGTTAACATATAATTAGCTGAAATACCAAAGAGTATTAAAAAAAAAGATGTTTACTTTTTGAGAAATCTATTTTTAAACAACATGCTAAAATAGAAGAAATGTTGAATAAATGAGGCAAATTTTCACACTTTTTTTTTCAATGTTCATTTAAAGTAAAATACAACAAATACAATAATTTGAAAAATAAAATTTATTATTAAAGAAATTCATTTGAATTGGATTGATTTGAGTTTGTGTTGACCACTAGGGTGGAGTGAAAATAACGTTTTTCAGAAATACAACTTTTACCCCTGATTTTTATATTACCTATTAGAAAAATAAAAAAACAAGACCAAAATGAGCAAAATTAGACAAGAATTACTCCCTGCAGCAAATTTTACTACATTCTATTAATAACGCAAATTTTACATAATTTTTTTCTAAGTAGAAGTTACAAAAACAATGGAAACATATTATTAGGTATTAGGGTGGAGTGAAAACAACTTTTTTTAAAAAAAATCAATTTTTCTTCCAAATTTCTAAATTAGATGAGTAAAATTGGACAAGAGTTATTCCATGTAGCAAGTTTTGGCCAAAGTAGGAAAATTTAAAGAATTTTCCATATTTTGAACTTTTTTATTTCAAATATTTTTTTTTTTTTTTGAAATTATTATTTCAAGTTTATCATCATTTTATTTTAAAGGAGTTGAAAAAGTGAATTTATTACATAATTTTAACAAACATAAAGCAAAAATACTACTATATAGTGTTGTATTGTGTCTTGGTGTTAATAATACTTTTTCTTCGATTGCAGACGGACACGTATCATGCCATCTTTTTTTATTTCGCCGCAAACATAGGCAGAAACAGCTGTCACTTTTTTACACAACGTTCTACAGTTTGCGTGTGGCACGTTAACTTATCCAAAAATTACTTAGTTGAATGCAATTCTCTTTTGCTTCTTTCAGTTTCTCATCAGTGAGCTGCATTGTTAGTGATGGCTCTGCCCGCTGTGTATTACTCCAATCAACCAACTCCTATGCATTCTTTGCCATAAAATTGAGTCGGAACTTTGAATTGCCGCACACTAGTTTAATTAGCACTCATACTTCTTTCTTCTTTAGCTCTCTGTATACACCTATTACCTAATTCTCGGATTTGTGGCTGCTCATCTGATATCATTGCCAGAGGAACTTTTTTTTCTTGATGACCAAAGAATGCATTTGTTTGAATAACTTTGTCTACCACTTTACGTAATGCATCTGGCAGATACGGTGATTTGACTAATGTGTTGCATAGATGCCAGCTGCCATGAAAAATAAAGTACAACAAGTGCTACTTTGTACAGCTTGGCAGATGTCAAAAAGGTAAATCTGATGTGTACTAAGCACTTTTTTGTCCACCTCTAGCATTTCTACATTATGGTTTATAGGTTGAAATCCAATAACTTTTAAGATCTCACTAGTTTCAAGGGGCTTTCCAATAGAACCTGAATAGTATCTAGGACCAGATGATGGTCCATCCAATTCTGAAAATAAATGACGTAGTAGAAGGTTATTTGCATGTAACAAACAAATTACCCTTTGTAGAGACTGTTGGAGTTATAAATCAATCAATCTAATCACACCACTCTTGTTTCCAGTGTTTACATTTGTTCAATTACAGCCAAGCACTTGTAAATCATCCAAAATGATATTGTGTTTTTTAGAGTAATTTATAGTTTGAGATTATATAGCTTCTGCTGCTCCGTTAAGAGGAGTGCAGTGTCCCAAAAACCCCCACCAGGTTCCTGAATCAAGAATATGTGCTCTTCCATAACTATGGTGTTCTATTCATTTAAAAATTTAAGGGTCTGATCTTTTTTGCCATCAAAGTATAACGCCTTTACATTGACTTTACTAACTTCCAAGTTATCCCTAGCTTTTATACGTTCACGTCTTATCTTGCTCCGGTCAATAATATATTTTTTGTCATCATTTGAAATAATGCTATTATCTTCAAGTACAGCTGATCTGTCTGAGAGTCCATGGTGGTTGCAGACTAATGAAATGGGAGAAACAATTGCATTTGCTTGATAATGATAATAATGATGATGGAGTATTTTCATCAATAGAAGACCGTTTTAAAGTATTGGGTGTGACAGAAGCAGTAGAATCGAGTGGCACTGCATCATTAAGACTTGAGCTCTGTTTGCTTTTGATATTCTGCAGTTTTGCTATAACTTCTTTGTCAATTAATCCAATACTCATTTTACGTTCAATACTTTGATCTTCCAGAAAAGTGTGCTCCGTAGCTGGTACTATTTAAACTTTGGCACAGCATATTTTTAGATCTTTATATTGGAAAGCAAATATATCAAAGAGTTTACCTAGTTTGTCCTTAAAGAACTGAAAGTTATTATTTTTATTTTCTCTGTCAGCAATTGGAATTTTTTGCAGCTTTTTGCTTTGCTCTCTTTGTCAGTGATGTAAATGATGGCACAGTAGGTATGTTGCAATTTCCCCAAATTTTTAAGACCTACATTGCTCTTGAAGCTGCTTCATTCTTTTTGTTGGCTTTTCCAGGAAGTTTCTGTAAAATTTTATAATCCTATATAAATTATATAGTCTTGTTGACAGTTGTTCCTCAGAGAGCGGCTTTGAAAATCCAAAGAATGGATGATCTGTTATAGATCTTAACATTCTATTTACTGAAATAAATTTAAAAAAGTTTTATTTTATTATAGTATTATCATATTATAAGTAAACACAGCAAAGTTTTAAACTTTTTATAGAAACATAACATGTTAACACAAACCATACTCGATTAATAAATATTCTTAATAAATATATTATACATTATAACAAATTTATTGTTAAATTATCAATAATATTATTATTTACAAACAAAATATTCTTACTAACATTTAAAAATATAGTCTGTATCGAAACTTCGAGTAGAGCATGTACTTTATTAAATTTTATGCTTAATATTCAATTGAAATATCTTTCTGTTCAATGTGCCTTAAAAAATTTTTAATAACTTTTTTGATACAAAAGTGATTAATTTAGTCATAATTAGGGATCGCCGGTTACAGGATGCGGTATACTAATTTTACTGTAAATTTCACCGTATATTTGGTATACTGAATGGTAATATACCAATTAGTATACCTATATGCTTTTATTTATGAAATATTTCTGGAATGAACAATTTAATGGTTATATTTTCTTAATATATTGAATTGCTATACTTTATTTAAATTATTATTATTATATAATTGAAGTGTATTTTAATTTGATTTTTTAATTTTTTTTTAGTTTGTTAAACTGTTATAGTTTTTAAAAAATAAATTTGCTTTTTTGTTTTACATGTTTTTTGTTTTTTTTTTGGATTTAAGTTATCTAAATCAAATAATAATAATTACTATAATTATTATTATTACTACTTTTATTATTGTTATTATTGTTGGTAATAATATTAGGGCCGTACCAGGCCAACTTTGCGCTTCGGGCAAGCAAATAATATTGCGCCCCCCTCTCAAAAAAATGTACAAAAAACACATATATATATAATTACATGAAAAAAAAATTAATTATTGATCACAAAATTTATCGCATCAAGTTAAAAGAACAATTTGTCACCAATGTTTCACAAACTTCAGTTCAAGGTCACTTTTCTGGCTTTTTTGGAGGCAAAGTCACTAATGACATCATCAAAATCAAGTGCGTTGGCCGCTTCATGTTCAATTGAAACTACTGCCAGACAAGACAAACGTTCTTGGCCCATAGTTGATCTCAAATAGTTTTTTATGATCTTAAGTTTACTGAAACTTCTTTCACACGTGGCAACTGTAACTGGTAAGGTGAGGAAGATGCGAATAGCAATTGCCGTGTTAGGATAAGCATCAGTCAATGAGTATTTATGAATGAGCTGCAAAATGTCCATCGGGCTAGATTTTTCAAAGTTTTCCATTATGGCAGCAGCTTGATATTTAAAACTTGCCATTTCTGACTGGAAATCTGAAGAATCTAAATCTGCCTTGTAAATTTTAGACAAACTTTTGGCTTTAGTCTTAAGTTCATCCACTGAACTTTTGGAGAGAGAATGTCCACTGAGGAAGTCAAAATCTGAGAATACTGCAGACATAGCTTCAAACCGCCACTCAATTTGTGTGAGAATGCTGTCAAACACAAGGTTGCACTGGGATCCGAAATCTGTTTCTGGTGACAAAAGGCAAAAGTCATCTTCAGCTTCATAAAGTGCCATCTGCTTCACTTTGCGCTTTTTCTTCATAGGAAAGTCTCCTTCAATTCCAATTTGGATAGCTGTTTCTGCAGCAGCTTTGATAATGTTGTCCACCCCAACATCTCTCAGATTCTGAATGGAAGCCTTCAGTCCTTTCATTTTTTTTGCTGCAATGTCAATTGAAATGTTTTTATACTGAAGCAGTATTGTCTTGTATCACTATTTCCCTTTAGTGAGATGGTCAATGTTTTCATCAGTTTTTCCCATCTTAAGGTAGAACTTGAGAAAAAGCTAAAGATGGCTTGAACTTATCCAAAGAATGTAATCATGAGTGGAGAAACTTCAGCAGCATGGACACCAACAAGGTTTAAAGTGTGAGCTGCACATGAACAAATCTTGCAAACTCATTTAGAGAATGGATGTGAGCTTGGACGCCATTATATTTTCCAGACATATTGGCTCCATTGTCGTAACCTTGGCCCCGACAATCAGAAATGCTCAGGCCATCCTTCTCCAGTTTTTCGGTGATTTCAGCTGCAAGGCCCTTTCCAGTTTTTTCGTGAGAAAAAACTGGAAAGATTGTGAACAATGAAGTCTACAAAGCTTTCCTCAATTGTACAGGTTTCCTCAGTGATGTGGACATACCTGATTATTTGGGTCATCTGCTCTTTGTGGGAGGCATCTGGAGTGCAGTCAAACAAAACAGAGTAGTATTTAGCTTCTCTGACATTTGACAAAATTTCATTCCTGACTTTCTGCCCAAGTAATTTAATCAGCTCATTTTGAATTCGAGGAGAAAAGTAGGATGTTATGGTTTTCTTTGCCTTAACGGATGCAACGTGTTCAGCCACTAAAAGATAATAATGGCTTATCAGCTCAATTAAGTTCAGAAAGATGCCACTGTTTTGCTCTCCAATTACTTCTGTTAAACCCCGAAGGGCAAGATTGTTCTTGGCACATAACAAAATTGCATCAACAATCACTTTCAAGATATCTCTCCACTTTTTCATCTCTCCGTTGATAACTCTCTGCAGATCAGAATCCAAGGTCTTTCCTTCCTTGAGATTTTTTTCCAGATTTTTTCAATCAGAATAGCATTTTTGGTGTTCATTGCTGTTTTCGTTTTCTGGAATTCTTGGGTTTAGTTTTTTCCAGTCACAAAATCCTTTTAAAATTTCTGAAAAATTGTTGGTTTTTGTCGTTGAAAATAGCAGACAGCAAAAACAAAACAAAGAATCGTTTTTGTTGCTGTACAGCAGCCAGTAGCGAACAGATTTTTCACCATTGGGATGAATTTTTTCATACCATTTTGAGCTGAAGTGTCGCATTCTGTTGTCAAAGTCACAAAGTGTGTTTGGAAAAAATTCTCTTCTTTCTTGCTCCGGCCCATGCTGAATCAAAAAGCACCTTGTTTTATCTGTCATTTTAGGCCATGTAGCTGGATCACTGTGTTGAAAGTTTTCTCCTGAGGTTGCTGAAATTTCTGAGATTTCAGGAGGAAATTCACTGTTGCCCATTTTAATTGGTTTGGAAAGCTGAGAATTTCTATCTTCTTGTGCTTTTGAATCATTTGGTCCAAATTCGTCTTGACTTTGGCCAATCAAAATCTCCTCTTCAATTAATTCCAATGGATGATATGAATTTAAGTCAATAATTAAAGATGTAGCAGCAACTTTAGCTGTTGAATCATTATCAACTTTATTGCAAATATCCTCTGAAATAATTCGTTTTTCCACAGAAGAGTTTGTTACCAACCACCTCTTGAAACAATTTCTTAGTTTTGCATCACTTTCAAGACGGTCTCTTCTTTTCTTCTTAAATTCAGCACCAGATAATTTTTTTGCACGATTCATTGTAAAAAATAATGTTCAGAAAATACAACTTTTTATTTTTTAATTGCGCTCTTCTATTATTTATTTTTTCTTTTTTCTTTTCTTCTCCCTCTTTATTTTTATTATTATTTGCTTACTTTACTTTCTTTAGCTTTCATTTCATTTGTTTCTTTATTTAAGCCGCTTAAATTAAGCGTTCTTTTTTTTAAATTCGAAGTTCTTTTTTTTCTATATTTTTTTCTTTTTAGAATAATTTTTAATGTGTGCGTTAAATTAATTTATATGATCCTTAATGAATCATTTGTTTATATTATAAATAATTATTGGATTTTAATTGTCGTTCTTAAACTCAGCACAAGATAATTTTTTTGCACGATTCATTGTAAAAAATAATGTTTAGAAAATACAACTTTTTAGTGTTTAAGGGCGCTCTTCTGTTTGGTAAATGAGCTTTTATTTTAAAGTTCGTCAGGAGGCGCAATTTTAATTAATATTCTTATCAACATAAAAGTGACGCCACGCAAATTAGTTTCATAATGTGAAAATAAATTAATTAATTTGGGGAATTTTGCGCCCTCCCAATTTTGGCGCCTCAGGCCGCGGCCCGGCTGGCCCCGCCCTTGGTACGGCCCTGATTAATATTGTTGGTATTAATATTGTTAACAATACATATGTTTACTATTGTATTTAAGTAAAATAATTAAGATGGCTGATCAAATTTACAAGCATGTCTCTTTTTTAGGAAAAGGTTCAACAGGAAAAATTTATTGCAAATATTGTGATAAATAAATTACAGCACGCTCAACTTTTAGATGGATGCTGCATATAAGGGGATGTGAAAAGGCCTCTGACGATGTTAAATTGTGCTTCAAAAAATAAAAAGAGAAGTTCAGAGTGTTTTATTTGAAACAAAAGGGAATGAAATTATGGCCTCACAAATCTCTGTAGATTCAGTTTCTAGCTCTAGTTTACTATCTTACAGACAACTTATAAGTCTTATAGGTTGGCAATATTCTTATATTTCCTTATAGGATATCTTACAGAATTTGTAAGATATTATTTGTCATTCAAATCCTATAGGATCATAAGAAATCCTGTAATTACCTTATAGGGTATCTTAAAGGATTCATAAGATTTTATTTGTCTTGCAAATCCTATAGGATCATAAGAAATATACATATCTATATAAAGTGCCGCCAAGAGTCGTCATGTCCGCCAAGAGTCGTCATGTCCGCCAAGAGTCGTCATGTCCGGGACAGCAACTTGATTGACGCTCTTATTTATCAAAATTCTCCTATATTATTGGTAAAGGATCCTTTTTCTTAGGTATCTTCTTTTCTATTAGGGGCCCCTTGGAAATATACGGCCCAGGACAATCTGAGCCTTTCAGTAAAATTTAACTCGTTTTAATAAAATTTAACTCGTTTATCTCGTTAAAATAAAAATGTGTTTAATTTTAATTCGTTTACTTTTCTAATTGATAATAACAACTACGGATAATGAAAAGAGATATGATCACCTCAGTCTTTTCAATTTCTTTTAAAAAATAGTATTTGATAGTTTTTAAAAACCCACAAGTTAAATTGTATCTAAAATATCAAGCTTAAAATATACAATTAAAACATTATCTAAAATATAGTCTAATAAAGGTAAATTAGAAATTCATTTTAGTGTTGACTCTATATTTTTAACGTACAATTAACGATAACTCTACGATAGTACACCATAGATATATCTATTTATATATATAGATATGTTTATAATATAACAGATTTATATTATTATAAGTGATTTAAATTATAATAATACTAAATATTATGGTTTCTGTACAAATCTAAAGTTATCTTACAGCATCCTATCAAAATTCTATGTAATTCCTGCAAGATGTTTAAAAATATTCTGGTAGATCTTACCTTATCTTTTAAGAATTCCTTCAAACCCTACAAGATCTTTTGAATAGATTCTTGTAGGTCCTACTGGGACTTGTGCAGCTCATCCTATAGGATACTTGTAGGATCTGTAAGATTGGTAGTCTAGTGAGGCATTCTGCTAAAAGAACTACGCCAAATTCATACTTTGACTCTATAAACAAAGATGATATTAAAAAAATTGATAAATCATATGCAAGGGTGTTTTTCCATACAGGAGTACCTTTGCTGATTCTTCTGCTTGGAAGCAACATCATTTGCAACAAGTATTTGCTGATTCTTCTGCTTGAAAGCAACATCATGCAAATCTTAGGCCTGCATATAAGCCTCTATCTAGTAATTGCATTAGTGGGCGTCTTTAAATGATGAAAAACGTTCAATAAAAAAATATGTTGATAATTCTGAATATGTAAGTATAGTGACTGATGGTTTTTCAAATATTAATGCAAATCATCTCATTAATTATTCGATTCATGTTTAAAATAGGACAATGAAACCAATTGCTTACAAAATTGAGCCAAATGGTTAGGAGCAACAGACTGGCATTTATATTGCAACTCGCATAGAAAATGTAATTCTTGAGGTTGGTGTTGATAAAGTTAGAAGCCTTGTAACTGATAATGCCTCAAACATGAGAGTTGCATGTGATATTATTGAGAAAAAATTTCCCAAACTATTTTTTAATAGTTGTACAGCCCATACAATCAATCTTTTACTAAAAGATATTTGCCTTCTAACTGAATTTGTGGATGTTTTAGAAAAGTCTGGAAAACTGATAACATTTGTTAAGCAAAGTTAAGCAAAAGTAAAGCAAAACTGTTAAGTTTGTAAGTAAAGTAAGACTGTTAAGTTTGTAACAGAGCTGTTAAGTTTGTAACAGCTAAACAAGAAACAGTTAAACACAATCGTGTTAAACAAGAAAATAATTTAAAGAAAATGCAAGCATTATCACATGGAGTTTTAGCACGGTGAGATAGTCATCATACTTCAGTTGCTCGTAATCTTGAAAACAAGTTATTTCATTTGAATTTAGCCAACTCAGGTGCCCTTTCGCGTGTACCTTTATCCACAAAAAAATTAGAGTATATAAATATTATACTAGACAATTTTTTTTGAGAAGATTGTCAATGTTTATTAATGTTATGAAACCATTATCGAAACTAATAGGTAAATTGGAATCAGATACTTGTTTGCTTTCTGAAGTTTATTTAGGATTTGTTAATTTAATGCAAATATGGAGTGAAGACTCAAAATTGAAAGCTCTTGTTTTACACCGATGGGAATTTGTGCATACACCATCCATGGGATACGCCATCCATGGGATTTGTGTACTTTCTAGATTCACGAAATCATGGTGGTAGAAATATGTATACTGAGCCTTCTCCATCCATTAAAATTG